AGCCTGATGTATAAAAAGTATGAAAAAGGTAACTGGTGTCCAAAGCAAAACCAGAAAATCACACCTGGACTTAAAAAAAAAAACAGCTAAAATCTGTTTGGTTTTGGGACAACTAGATTTACGGTTGTATATTTTGTATAAAAAAAATGTAAAAATCTTACATGAAGGTATTGGTGCTGAGGCCCTCCTAAAAGGTTAAGAAATGTATTTTATGCCAAATATATATCTATATTTAAGATCCTGATTGTATAATCTGGATGGACCTGTTTTTTTTGTTTGTATTTTTTTCACCCTTATATACTATGTAATTGGGATACCAAAAAAGGAAACCCTTAGAACCTTGAGAGCCATCCAACACCATGAGGTCAGAGTAGAGAGAGCTATATGTTCCACATGCAGAAGGCCCAGGTTGCCAGCCCCTACGGTGCAAAGACAACCTCAATAATCATTGGTAATATTGTCCACACCAACTACTACATTATAAAGTGGTCTCTGCGCTTGCCCCCTACACCCTTTGTGTTTTTCTTCCTCTCTAAATTTTAGAACAATCTCCATAGTGCTGCTAGAGAGTTTATCTTGAGTACACTACATATCAGGCTCTAAGTTTAGCATGTTCTGTTAAAAGCATCACCTAGAAGCAATAGAGGCCTGACCTAGAGTAAAGCCCAGTACACATATTGTCCGGTTCAACAGAAACCGGCCAACATCCAGCCCTTGTGTACACCAGCCTGTCTGACAGAAGCCGGCTGAATTTATTTTAATTTTTTTTATTTATTTCAGGTACTTATATAGCGCCGCCAATTTACGCAGCGCTTTACATATATATTGTACATTCACATCAAACTCTAACCCTCAAGGGGCGTACAATCTAAGGTCCCTAACTTGCATTCATACATACACATACTAGGGCCAATTTAGACAGGATCCAAGCATGTCTTTGGAGTGTGGGAGGAAACCGGAGTACCCAGAGGAAACCCACGCAGGCACAGGGAGAACATGCAAACTCCAGGCAGGTGGTGCCGTGGTTGGGATTCTAACCAACGACCCTAGTACTGCCAGGCGTAAGTGCTAACCATTTAGCCACTGTGCTGCCCGGCTGAATGATTGGCTTATGTTAAATGGGCATACTGGAAAACCAGCATCCCATCGCAATCTGATCAGTGCTGGCAGCCAACTGCTGCGAGCGCTGACCAGTGTGTTTTGGCGGAGGGAACAATCCCCCTGTCAGAACACAATAGCTCAGCAAGGAGATCGCTGTACTAAAATTGCATAGTTAGTACAGCGAGCTCCTCCCAAACTCTGTCAGTTTTTTTTTCGTTCATCCCAGCGGGTTGAACAAAAAAAAAAAAAAAAGAAGTGTGTATCCAGCATAAGAAGAGGCAGACACAAAAGGATCCACTATTTAAAACCACAGCATTTCTGACAATCTGGTGAAACTATAGCAGCTCATGTACAGACGGGGGATCTGGATGTACAAACAAAAGATCAACCTGGCCTTGTCAAGTATGTTATTCCATTTATTAGAAAGAAAAATAGTACATACTAACAGTGAGTATATAGTATTTGTTTGGTAATAAATGGATTACCATACTTCACAAGGCCAGTTTCCTCTGTTTCTTTGCTTTACTGGTACTTCCAGTATTATGAATACGCCAGAACAATTGTGTTCAGGGCATGCAACAACAGCCCACACACTTCCAATCTGTCCTGTAAAATCTATGTAGTACCTGCACATGCTTTAGGACAGAACGTTGGGGAGATCTGGAGTAGAAGACTGTTTAATAAATCACATTTTGCAGTGGACAATTCTGTTTTTTGTAGGGACATTCCATTCTCTTATTAATAAGGTTGTGTATAAATCTATTACCATGTAAAGTTGTGGAGTTTTTGTTTACTGTACTTTTTTATTTTTCAGGTACAATGATATCTTAAATCTAACATACTTGTTTTATTTATTAGCAAGTAAACATGTATTTAGTGTCACCAGCCATCTCTGGAGCTTAGGTTTACTCTACATCGATTTATTATTTTTGTGACAGAGGTGTTAAGAAAAATGTTTTAAAAACACAAACCTCTTGTGTAATTTCTATTTCAGTTTTGTCAGACTGTTATGTGACGGTCCAATGCAAAAATAAAAAAATAATTGAAATAAAATGTACTTTTCACATTTTTGGTGGTTAATATTAAAAAAATTACCATTTAGACAGTGAATATGAACAAAACAAATGAATAACAATATTTAAAAAAATAGAAAAATACTTCCTTTATTAGGGCAAGTTTCAGGATTGGAGTATTTGGGGGATATGATCAACATGTATAAATACATCAGTGGTTCATATAGTGAACTCGGTGTAGAGTTATTCATCCTGAGGTCATCACAGAGGACAAGGGGGCACTCTTTACGTCTGGAGGAAAAGACATTTAACCTCCAAAACACGGAAAGGTTTCTTCACAGTGAGATCTGTGAAAATGTGGAATAGACTCCCTCAAGAGTTGGTTCTGGCCAGCTCAGTGGATTGCTTCAAAAAAAGGCCTGAATTCTTTCTTGATACACAGAATATAACTGGATACTAACATTTATAGGTAATGTTGATCCAGGGAATATCTGATTGCCTCTCGGAGGATCAGGAAGGAATTTTTTTTCTCTGCAGGAGCAAATTGGATCGTGCTTTGCTGGGTTTTTTGCCTTCCTCTGGATCAACTGTGGGTATAGGATTAGAACTTTTTTTTTTCTTCATGGTTGAACTGGATGGACGTTTGTCTTTTTTCAGCCAGACTAACTATGTATTTTACTGGAGGATTATTAAGCGTAAGTGCACGTTTAAATTAACATAGGAACCTTGTCTCAGGCTCACAGGTCCCTATATAATCCTTGCACATGCACTGAGTGTAGAACAGATCTGACGCTAAAAAATAATAACTTCTGCAACTGCAAGTTCTGTGTTGAAATAGAGACTTGGCGGGGCCAGGGCTGCATTCAACTGCAGAGGCATCAGCAAAAGCTACATGTGAATCAGCGTGCTTTCCTCACACTGCAGGTTAAAAACTTATTTTACTGCAGGGGTCACCACTTTCAGATTAGGGTGGCAACAGTTGCTGTTTTAGGTAGTCAGGGTGAGGCGGGGGGGTTGATTTACAGTACCAAGGGGCTACTTAGGCTTCGCTTTTTCCTATCCAGCCACATCTCTGTAGAAGGATGGATCTCCATAGATTGTTCTCTACATGTACTGCATCAGAGGGTCCTCTAACCTAAGGAAAGTTCTAAGGAAAGTTAAAAACCCCTTTAACTTGGTGGACAGTGGCCATATGTAAAGCAGCTTCCAGGGAGAGCCAAGCAGCTGCAGGGCAGGTTCAGTTATAACCAGCATCAGATTTACTTACACTTAACTAAAAGCCAATGTCACAAAAAGATATTTAGTCAGACAGACTTTGCATTAACAACCTCCATTCTCATAGTTATATAGTCCACTTTCCTATTACAGCAATTGTGCTGAGTGTCTAAGGCCCCATGCACACGGATGTCAACACACTTCTGTTCATAGGGGTTTAAAACCAATTTCTAACTGCATTTGCTTAGCAATGACTGAATTCACACCTATATATTAAGCAGCTTCCAGCTGCGTGTTGCATGCATTTTTTTTTCCACTAAAATGCATGTAAATGCAAGCACATCTAAATGCAAGAGAAATTAATCTGGACAATATAAAGTTTGTTTTTACTCCCAGATCGCCTATTGCTACACACAGGTGTCCGATGTGCATGAGGTCTAAATATAGCAATTAGAGTTAGAGCTAGTGCATTCAGTAATCAGCACTTCGCAAATAACTGTTCAGACAAGACTCAACTCCTCATCTGCAATTCAAGTCTGTTTTCTGTTTGAAGACACTTATCCTGAGGGGAGGAGCCAGATCTCATTTATTTCAGCATGGAGTGCTGCTGTGGTGTGCGGCAGGTTTTTAGAAATCAAAGCACAAACCGCAGTGCTACAGGACTATAAAAAGAAAAAAATGATAAGAATTCAATTTGGCTTTCAACTGAAACAAAGAAACAGGTGTTGTACCTGCAGCTAGGTGCTTATGATGAACAATATTTCCAGTTCAAACTGTAGATAATATTTGCTTAAACAGCAGCTGTATTTTATTATTGGACACCTTTAAAAAAATTAACTCATATCCTTGTTTAATTAAAAGATCAGGAACAGGGAGAAGTGTCTGAAAAATGTTGCAGATTAAGAGTTGACAATTTGAAACATATGCCAAGATCTTTAACTGACATAGGTGTCCGTTTATGACACAGAGAATAGCTGCGATTCAGAGGATCACAGCTATTCTCTGGTCATTCACAGTTTATGACACTCAGGAGATCAGCAGAGAACATGTTCAGCCCTTCACTGGAGATCTGTGTTCTCCCTCCAGATTCTCCAGCCCAGAGCTGGAGAATCAGAGGGACGGCAAACTAAGCAGCGATAATTTACCTCTGTTTAGTAAACTGATCTTTTACTGTAATCTCGCAAGATTATAGTAAAATAAGCCGTTTTTTTTTCCAGCGTTTGTAGACCGTTCTCCCTTAGTTCGGAGAACTGATCTACACCGCTTCATAAAAGGCATTCACAGGAGAACTGTGTTCTCCGAGAATTCCGGAGAACTGAGCAGCGATCATTTACCGCTGGTTCATAAACGGACACCATGGTCAATTGATCTTGTGGAGGACACAGAAGTGGTTGGATAATAACCTTTTAACATGAGATAGCGTTAACATATAAAAAAGCTGTTCCTTCACACCCATAAACCTGGATCTTTAAAAGGCATGGTCATCAGATCCTTCAGTGCCAGACAACCAGATTAGGACACAGAAGGGGCTGGGTGGGAATCTTTTACCATCCGATGGAGTTATTATATTAACAAGTGTTCCATCAAGCCCAGTCTATATGGAGGACTCTCTGTGGTTATGTTCACCTTATTTAGGTTTCTTAAACAATGTAAATCATCTAATATGACACCTTAAGTAACACTGCTAGCAGTTGTGGCTAATGATTCTAGATCTCCATTTTGTTTCAAAGTACAGCTCAGATCAAAGCAATACACATAGTTGTCTCTGCAGCCTACGACCAGCTGGTTCAGGCACACCACCGGAGAAGAGAATATCTCCCCCTCTAGTGTACACTGACTGATCAGAAGTCCAGAGTGTGCATCCAGTATCCACAAGCTTCCATCTGTAGAGGCAGCTGTCAGTAGCTCTGTGTTCTCAGTGTGTGGGTTGGGAAACACAAATGGTGTAGCGTATACTCGTGAATTGGCTTTATATTTCCAGAGTAATTCCCCATCAGTGCTGCAGCAATAAATGAAGCCATCATGTGAGCCAAACATGACATGCTTCGATACAGTAGAGACACACGGTGAAGAAAAAATGGGCCCCTCCGTGGAAAACTGCCATAACTGAAAAAGAAAAAAAAAAGCATTAATTTGATACTAGGTAAAGAACCATTTCATCCGTGCAGTCAATATTGGGACAGATTCATAAAAGCTGCAACAATGAAATCCAACATTTATATAATGAACATTAGGAAAGCAAAGCAAATATCTCACCAGCAATTGTGAACAATGCTAAACATAACAAAACAAAGCAAGTGCTATCATGAAGGTATTCAGCTCTAAAGCTCCTTTGGCTGAAGCAATGAATGGCCATCTTTGCTAGACACTAAATGCAAAGAATCTGGTTGGTCTGCATCATTGTGTTTATATATGCAAATATAAAAGACTGACATCTTGAGGCATCCAATTAATGTTACTCCCCAGCAATAGTCTTGGGAGCACACAGGAAATGCAGTCCATCTGCTCAGGACTTCAGCTTTTTATCCAGTTCTTGCAGTAGTGCCCTTTTCCTTCTTTATAATCTGAAGATTGGGGACCCATTTTATTTACCTATTTGTAATGCGGGAGCACATTTTAAAATACAGCCACTGCAGCTGTGTCTCTTACAAAAGTTCCATCTATAAGGCCTGGATCACACCATATGTGCAGAAAAACTGACAGAAACCAACGCACAGATTTCACTTGCAGATACATACGTTTACATCACTTTTCATACACACTGCAATGAGTTTTATACACGTTGCAGATTCCTGCACAGAAAAAAATCTGCACGTGATATTAGTGTAGTGGAATGAACAGGGCACATAGACAGCAATTGATTTTGTTGTGCCCTTGCAAAACACGTGGCTTTGCAGACTAAGCCAGGCTCAGTTGTGTTTAATTCAAGCAACAACAAGATGCTCTTCTAGCAATCCATGTAAGTTACAGGTATGAGGAAACTGATCATGTTTCAGGTTACACCCTAAACATGAGTGTACCATGAAACATGGTTCCAAAGCTGGACTATGCCTTTAAAAGGTAAACAGTGAGGGAATTCTGACTTCTGACTGTAGTGACTGCTGGGTAGCATTAGCAGGAAAAGAAAGGGGTTATATTCTGTAGTTCGTTTTTCTAATGGTCAAGGTAATTCGTGTATTTTGGAAGGCTTTAGTCTGATGTTCCCCAATGTTTTTTGGACCGGTACAGATATACTAGTGGTGTGCCACAGCAGGCCATGGAGGTGCTTAAATTACATCAGTCATGACAAAGGCACAGGCTGGCATTGGCTGGCCTCCTAAACATTCTAGATCTCTGGCTATGTCTGTCTTGAACACTTTTTGATACACAGACTCAGAGCAAACATGCTATAAATAAGCATCAGGAAAGTGTGAGAACTATCTCTATACTTGTGCTGGGCTAGTGACTCAGAAAGGGTTAAAGCCAAACTTGAAGCATTATAACAGAACTCACTAGAGCATTTCTCACCTTTTCTCCCCAGTGACTGAGACAATAAAACATTGCATCCACACATCCAAAGAACACATGCTTGTCGCTGCACTGCAGTGAAGAAAACACAGGTTTGCCGATGTCATTCTTCCACAGATGCTTTCCTGTGCGCTAGAGTGATAAGAAACATAATTTATATACTGCATGGAGCAAAACAAAAAAACCTGGTTCAACACAGTACTGCTTTACAAATCACAGTGAAAGTAAGACTACATTAGTAGAGGCCTATTATTTTAAATAAACTATTAGAGTAACCATTACTTTCGGCTCTGACAGATATCCACATTCAAACAATTGTACTTACCGGATTGATGGCCAGCACCAGACCTCCCAAGGTGGCAACATACAAATGATTTGGCTCCAGGTTTATACAAGGAGAAGAAAACACAGCAGATGCCAGACAATGAGACTTCCAGACACACTGTTTTCCCTGCAAGAAGGTGACATACTGCAGTTCAGCTTATTCAGCAAGTCAGTAGCAAGGATGATATATAACAGGTGAAAACTAAACAGTTTCAGCTTATTGAAGTCAAACAATTGAAAGGTGGATTCTGATTAGCTGTATGGATTTAAGGAAACCCAAAAAAAAGTATGGAGGCCAGGGCCGTGGATAAGGGGGTACTACCAGTCCTCCTGTACAGGGCCCAGGCCTGCAGGGGGGCCCAGGCAGCTGGGTGAATCACATGTGGTTAGGTAGGGTGAGTGGGGAAATTTCTGAAACCAATCCCCTGTATGGCTGTCTGTGCAGCAGCTGAAAGCTGGGTTCTTCTCTTCTCCTCTCCCCCCCCCCCCCCCTTCCCCCGGGCTAGCTAGAGAAACATACAGGGGATAGGTTCCAGTACTTTGACAGCCCTTTCCATGCCTGAATGAACACAATGAGTGATCGGTACTGATCACTCACCGTGTTAATTCATAACTGAAGCATAGTAAACTGTGTTTTTTTGTGGGGATGGGGGGCCCTGTTAGCTTGGCTGTATGGGGCCCTGTGGTTTAGTGATGGTGGTGGGGGGGGCTGTCAGGTTGGCCTCTCATTTGGAAAATTGCTGGTTTTCTGGCTTTCATGCTGATTTAGAACTAATATGCAGATTAGGAGCTCTGAGTTCATTTAAACTTTCCTGATTTGCATGTTTGATCCAGATCAATGTCTTGGAGTACTGAAGTCATAAATCCAGGCAACTTGCGTTTTCAAAAGTAAGGCGCCATTGGCAGCACCCAGATTACAATAAGTGCAGGTTTCCTTTGCCCACACAGTCCCCCCAAAAAATCCCTTTATACAGCGGGCAAAATAAGTATTGAACATGTCACCAATTTTCTAAGTAAATATATTTCTAAAGGTGCTATTGACAGGACATTTTCACTGCATATACCCATGCAATCCATACATACAAAAAAACAAAACAAATAAGTTCAGAAATTAAGTTATGTGTAATAAATTGGAATGAACAAATGAGAAAAAAGTATTGAGCACATGAAGAAAGGGAGGTGCAAAAAGGCATGGAAAGCCAAGACACCAGCTGAAATCTATTAGTAATTAAAAAGTAATCCTGCCCCTTGTTAGTGCAAATTAATATCAGCTGGTTCAGTCTCACCTGATGGCCTATAAAAAGGTGCCTCATTGCCAAGTGGTCACACAAGAAACATCTAATTTTGGGTAAAAGCAAAGAGCTTTCTTGAGCGAGGGGGGGGAGGGGCCTGAACATGGCGCCGACAAGGAGCATAAAGTAGGAGCTCCCAGCACCCACCAAGCAATGTGTAGGAGACCCTGATGTAATATGAGTATACTACCCCACCCTTCCCTATACCTGCTAACTCCTACATGCGCGGCATCCCCTGGCTGGCTCTTGAGGGACAGGAGAGTGCAGCTCCCTAAAAAGGTAGAAGAGATGTATCCCGGAGGAGTGAAGCGGTAGATGCCAGGAGTGATCACGTGGCGGCAGTGTGCATCCCTGGGAGACGTGGCCAGAGGAAAGGAGGACAGGAGCCAACAGAAACCACGGAGGTTGACCCTCCCTTCTTGACCACCTTCAAGCACCTTTAGCAATCCCAAAGAGAAAGGAGGAAAGAAGGGAGTAATTGGCAGTGCCTCACGGCGAAGACAGTGGAGGCGCTGAGGTGGTGGAGCCTAACAGGTAGAATGCTGCAAGCAGTGAGTCTCAAAGCCCATAAGTATATATAATCAGTGGGTGTGGAGGTGGAAGAGACGCTCTCGTTGGCTGGTGGTGAATAAAGGAGGAGGAAAGGAAAGAAGAAATGGAGAATAAAAGGAAAAAAAAAAAAAGAAAGTAATGGGGGGGGGGGGGGGGGGGTCACCCTGTGGGTTTAAAGGAGAAGGAGAGGGAAAGAAAAACAAAGAGAAAAATGTTGCCGAAGGGACCTGGAATATTAAAATAGGAGGCGGCATATAAGTGGAAGACCAGGAACGTTAGTATACCGCAGATAAGAACATAAGAGCACTTGTACTGGAATATATGTTTTATTTATTGAAGCTTTTGGAGATAATATCCCATCTTGAACTACAAATTTAGAAGTACCAACATCAGGAAGAGTAGATCTGTAAAAGGAGGAGGGACAAAAACACCCCAAACAAGTACAAGTGCAATAAAAAAAAAAATATGCCCCCGCAAGACAGAAGCCCAGAGAGTCAAACCCCATAGAGACAACAGGGAGCAAGTGGAAAACAAGAGATGGGAAGAAATACTGAAAATCAAACTAGACTGTCACTGGCAATATCAAACCCGAACCAGGCTAAAGAAATTTTAAATATGGAAAGTGAAGTGGAAATAGAAAATACAGAAGAAAATGGAATACGCTCACAAATGCCCACAAAAATGGAAATAGCAGAAATGTTTGCGAAACAAAAGCAGTCTATAAAGAATGATATGGCAGTCCTACATGATGATTTGGGTCAGGTGCTATTACGAGTTGAAGAAACTGAAGAAAATTTGGACAAACATGCTCAAGTAATAACTAAATTGGAAGGGCAAATGAATGAAATGCAACAGGAGCAAACGAAATTATTATATAAGATGGAGGATTAAGAGAATAGAGACAAAAGGAATAACCTGAGCATTCACGGACTGCCGGAAGTACCTCAAGGAGAAGATTTGATTGATATAATTAAGAAGGTGTTTAATCCCATAATGGTTAGATCAGTAACAGATCAATTGAAAATTGACAGAGTACATAGGATTAGGTGACCACAAGGAATGACAATGGAAACCCCCAGGGATGAGATTTTATGATTTCATTATTATGAAGATAAAGAATATATCTGAAAGATGAGAGGGATCCCAGCAATAAAGTATTGAGAAACGAGCCTGAAAATTTGCTCAGATATAACACCTGAAATTTTGGCAAGAAGGAGAGCTCTGAGGCAATTACTGGAGCAGATGAGAAAAAAAATGTCTGATATAATTGGGGATTTCCAGCTTGGCTAGTTGAATGGAAGAATGGACGTTCCGTTAGACTGAGATTTCCAGAGGAATTATGGGACATTTGTGAGAGACTAGAATTACAGATACCGGATATCCCAGGATGATCAGAAGGGGCTAAGGAGAACTTGGACTTAGAAAAAAGAGAACTGGAAATTAGTCCTCAAGAAAAGACTGCAACAGAGATAAGAGGAAAAGAAAACAAGAAAGGGAGAGCAGAAGATGATGTAGTTGAGAGACTTTAAAGATGGGACTTTTTTTTTCTTCTCTTCTCTCTTCCCCCCTCTTCCCTGTTGGATACTGTGGAGGAGGGGGGAATTGGAGAGAGGAAGCAGGTGATATCTGAAAGGCATAAACAGGTATAGGGAATGGGGAGGGGGGAGGAAAGGTGGAAAAAGAGCCTTTGAAGAGGGTGGGAAGAGAAATATAGAGCAAAGTCAGGGTGCCCTGGATGCCCATCATGCTCCTGAATTTATAACCCAATGAGTGGGGTGGGGGTTATGGGAGGCGTGTGCTCACAGTCACACCCTGAAAGTGGAATCGATCACCATGGGACCAGAACCACTACCGATTCAAGGGCTAGCAATGGACCTGAGGGTTTTAAGAATAGTGGGTGATGGGAGGTGGGGGTTGGAAGGGAGATGGGGTTGGGAGAGAGGGGAAGAAAGGATTCTCTTGAAGATATCTTCTGGCTCAAAACTAGTTATACAAGCACTCTCCTAAATGTGAATTTTGAGGAAGAAGGGATATGGATGGATGTATTTGGATAATATATGACCTACAATGTAAAAAAATTTAATTATCCGGGTAAAAGACATAAGATTCTTAGGGAAATTTATCCTAGCTCTATTGAAGTAATATTTTTACAAGAGATGCACATATCACATGGTGGCAAAAGAAAGATATCAGTGGGGGAATAGACCAGAAAGATATTTAATGAGAAGACTAAGGAAAAAGAAATGAGTAAATTATATAGAGAGAATTAGAGATGAGACAGGAGAAGTGGTATATTCAACCACTGCAATTGCTAGTGTACTTCAAAAATATTACAGCAGGTTATATAAAGTAAAACCTAAGAATCAAAAAGAAGTGGAAGTAGAAAGAACAAGGAAAAGGCAGTTATATCTAAAAGAAGCTGGATTACCTAGATTAGAAGAAGAAAGATTAGTAGCTTTAGAAAAAACGATATCGCAAGAAGAAAATCAAGTAGCATTGAAGAGTACAGATGCAGGGAAGAATCCAGAACCGGATGGTTATACAGTGAGATACTATAGGAATTTAAAAAACAACTAGTCTCTAAAATGTGTTCATATATGAATGCACTAGGAGAAGCGGTGGAAATGAGAGAAGAGTTGTTACTGGCATATATTACAATTATACCTAAAGAGGGAAAAGACATGTCTCAATTTCCAATTTTCATTATTAAATATTGACACAAAATTATATGCAAAAGTTTTAGCGACCAGGATGAAAGATCTACTGTCGGAGTGGATACACTTAGATCAGGTGGGGTTTATCCCAGGAAGAGAAGGAAGGGATAATGGTTTAAGAGCTTTGCTCCTCCTGCAAAAAAGAGTAAGAGAAAAATCCCCAGTACTGGTCCTGTCTATAGATGCCGAGAAGGCTTTCAACAGGGTAGACTGGGGATTTATGATGGATACATTGGAGGTAATAGGACCTACAATGGTGCAGTGGATAAAAAGATGTATAGTAATCCTTCAGCAGCTGTAAATATCATTCGTTCATTTCATCATCATTTAAAATGTATAATGGAACAAGGCAGGGATGTCCACTTTCTCCCCTATTTGTAATATATTTAGAGCCATTATTAGCTACGGTTCAAATATTGCAGATGTTAAAAGGAATTCAGATAGGAGACGTGGAACATAAAGTCACGGTGTACGCAGATGATATTAAATATTAGCGTACCAAGGAGAGAGAAAAAGGCCTTACAGAAAGTATTTCCTTTCACATGGAGGGAAAAAGAATGAAAATATTT